ATGATTTCCTTAATTACTTGCTCCATTATCTTCCCTGGCACAGAAGTTAAACTAACTGGTCTGTAGTTTCCTGGGTTGTTCTTATTTCCCTTTTTATAAATGGGCACTATATTTGCCCTTTTCCAGTTTTCTGAAATCTCTCCTGTCTCCCATGATTTTCCAAAGATGATAGTTAGAGGCTCAGATATCTCCTCTATCAGCTCCTTGAGTATTCTAGGATGCATTTCATCAGGCCCTGGTGACTTGCAGGCATCTAACTTTTCTAGGTGATTTTTAACTTGTTCTTTTTTTATTTTATCTTCTAAACCTACCCCCTTCCCACTAGCATTCACTATGTTAGGCATTCCTTCATCAGACTTCTTGATGAAGACTGAAACAAAGAAGTCATTAAGCATCTCTGTCATTTCCAAGTTTCCTGTTACTGTTTCTCTCTCCTCACTGAGCAGTGGGTCTACCCTGTCCTTGGTCTTCCTCTTGTTTCTAATGTTTTTATAAAAAGTCCTCTTGTTTTCCTTGATTCCTGTAGCTAGTTTGAGCTCATTTTGTGCCTTTGCCTTTCTAATCTTGCCCCTGCATTCCTGTGTTGTTTGCCTATATTTATCCTTTGTAATTCGTCCTAGTTTCCATTTTTATATGACTCCTTTTTATTTTTAGATCATGCAAGATCTCTTGGTTAAACCAAGGTGGTCTTTTGCCATATTTTCTCTTTCCTACGCAATGGAGTAGCTTGCTTTTGGGCTCTTAACAATGTCGCTTTGAAAAACTGCCAACTCTCCTCAGTTGTTTTTCCCCTCAGTCTTGATTCCCATGGGACCTTACCGATCAGCTCTCTGAGCTTACCAACATCCGCCTTCCTGAAATCCATTGTCTCTATTTTGCTGTTCTCCCTTCTACACTTCCTTAGAATTGTGAACTCTGTGATTTCATGATCACTTTCACCCACGCTGCCTTCCACTTTGAAATTCTCAACCAGTTCCTCCCTATTTGTTAAAGTAGAAGTGTCCTTACACTCTGCAGGCTGCTGTTTTGATGTCCCTGTGCTACAGAGCAGACCTAAAATGTCCAGTATTTTTTTTCTCATTCCCTGCCAGGAGGCGAAAATACCAGACACCTGGCAACCCTTCCATACTCAGCAACCGGGTGAGTCCCAGGGCCTCTCCCGGACACCCCTCCTCCCCCTGCACCCTCTCCCCAAGCCCTTCCTCCTCCCCACTTACTTCATTCTGCAGGGGAGCTCTCTTCCCACACAGAGTAAGAAAACAATATGGCTGCTGGCAAAAAACCCCAAAGGCTTTTTTTGGCGGGGGTGGGTGGGGGGTGTTCGGTATGTTTGGATAAACCATCCGGCAACCCTAGTTCAGGAGTAGAGCTCAAGTTTTGAAAAATTGTCACATCCTCTTGGGGAATCTAGAGGCCTTTTTGTTGGTCAATATTTTTACACAGAGAACACTAGAGCCTGGACAAATGATGTGAGATGAGTTAGTCCCTCACTGAAGAGATGCTTCTCGGAGCAACCATATTGAGCAGGCCATGCACTAAATTACCACATACTGTATTCTCCTGAACCTTTTGGCAATAGAAAAATACCAACAGAAAATAGGCAATAGAAAAAAGCCATTATATAATGACCTATTTGGAGCAGTGACTCTTATGGGCTCCAAAACAAACTATGCTTGGTGGTACAGAAGGTCTTTCTAAGCTCAAGCAGAAATGACGGCATTTTATAGTCAAGTAGGTTGCGTCTAGACTGGCAAGTTTTTCTGCCAACTGTCTACACTGGCAGCTTGAATTTCCGCAAGAACACTGATGATCTCATGTAAGATTGTCAGTGTTCTTGCGGAAATGCTATGCTGCTCCTGTTCAGGCAAAAGCCCTCTTGCGCAAATGCTTTTGCGCAAGAGGGCCAGTGTAGACAACGCAGTATTGTTTTGCACAAAACCGCGTCGTCTTGCGCAAGTGCTTTTGCGGAAAAGCGTCCATGCCAATCTAGACGCTCTTTTCTGCAAATGCTTTTAACGGAAAAGCTTTTCTGTTAAAAGCATTTGCAGAAAATCATGCCAGTTTAGACGTAGCCGTAATGTTTGCCACTGAGGTGGAAAAGAGGGAAGGATTTCCTATGACAATGAGAATCAGGCCATGTCCTCTCCCTTCTCCCAACCACCTGGACTCCTGCTCAGAAATC